TCCGGTGTAAAAGTTCCCTGAAGTTCCCTCAGCTTGCCACCAACCAAATGTCCAGCTCTATACGACCAAACAAAGGTTCTGCTCCAGCGGGGTCACAGACCAGAAAATCCAATCTATGGCGCACCTACCGAGGCTCCGCTACCAGTGTCAAGTGCTAAATGAACCTCGACGCCCAGTTTTCCAACCGCGCATCGGGAGGCTCAAGGCCTAGTGAGATTCGAGCCATATTGGCCCGGCGAACGTACCATGTCGGTACACCTGCAAAGTGCGGACATGAGACATCTGAGTTCATGATCTGAAATCTTCACCATATATATGGTTATTCAGTGTCCAAATGGATGGTTATTCCGAACGAGCAGTGTCCCCTTAGCAAACACTAAACCCTTTCTTGCACGTTTGCCATGAGGCATCGAAAATCGGATATTGAACAAAGTGCTCATGTGCCACGTTCCCAGGTACTGCGGTGAGCCACCATGTTCCATGCGAATGTTGGTTGGTATTTTGTGATATGGGAGTTACATTACCTTTTGACACCAGCTGCATTATCCTTCATCTTAAGAATGACCCTCCGAGGGAGATTGCACAAGCCGCTGCCCATGAGTACTCGGATGGGCAGACCCCAAGCTCAGCATCGGAAGCAAGCTCCACCAATTGACCAGCGCACCTAACCAGCGAGGGCTAGCCAGGGAGCGTTCAAGACATGTTCCAAAACTTGGCTGGGATCTATGGAACATCTAAACATGAATCGGCTTGCTTGCGGCGCACATGAGCCCAAGTCAGCAAGCTCGGCAGTCTCATCTCCAATGGCGCATGGGCAGCAGGACAACTATCGACTCACAAGATGGGGCCGCGACACCGAGATGCCGAGACTGAGAGAGGCTGGTGGCACTCGCCAAATTTAACCCCCGATTACCAACTATGACTAGAAGTCCTGAGATGCCCAAGCTAATTATAGCGAAGGCAGAAAGGACGGAGACCTCTTCCCCTTGCTCTGCTTGCCTACTGAGCCTGCTGTTTCTCACGATATCTTAGTAAAGGGCCTGCAACAGAAGCTATGCGTCCAGGGCGCAGCTCGCCGAGAAGGGTCAAAGGTACTTGGTCCAAATGGTTTCGCACAGCTTCCAATTCTTCCTTGCCATCGGCAGTGTCTGCTTTTTTCACCATGGTCTAACAGGTTTTGCCCAGGTTTCCTTAAGGATTTACCATGGTATTCCATGGTATTCAACTGCATCCCTTGCCTGGTTGAAGCCTCCGATCTCCTGCAACACTGCGCAGGCCAGGCCCGCGATGGAGGCGGGAGCATTGGCCAAGCCTTGGCAGTAAAAAGCGAGGGTGAGAAAAGCCTGAGCGTCCTTGCTCCTAGTAGCGATGCCCCGTTGTTCCTAGTAGCTTCTTGCTCTTAGTAGTAAGGCTAGGAGCTAGTAGCTTTTTTCATTGCTTGAACTGCAATACATTTCAACATCAACTTGAACCACATGCAGAGTGTAGCCTGGGTAAGAAGATGGATGTGTTGGAGGGAATCAGAAAAATACCAATCAGTCAATGAGTCAGGACACAGGTGAACTATTCGTCTTTTCTTGCTTTTTAGCCCGCTCCTACTAAACTAAGCAGGCGCCTATTTAATTAAAGTAAGGGAGTAAGCTACTACTGTAGCTACTTAAGCTACTACATATTGACGCAGGATAGCTCACGCTTCTTCAAGGAAGCTTCCCCCGCCTCAGGGCGGGGGGAGCTTCCTTGAAGATTCCTAGATTGTTAGGGAAACTTAACTTTTATGGGAAGAGATACTCTTCAGGCACTACTATATACATGTATATATGTATACATAGTTGCGCTTTGCTGGTGCAACATCAACACAACTGACACAAACGGGCTTTCGCAAGAGCCAAAGCAGCGCCCCGAGGGCCCGCAAGTACGTTCCTATCGTGCAAAGATGCCCCTACAGTAGAGAAAGATGATGAGAGTGTCACAGAGTGCCTCCACCGCACAAAGGGATACGAGTAAAATTCAGTATATAAATGGAAACTACTGTACATCTTCAGTTTATCTGGAGGCATCCATACGTCAAGCCACAAGAGCCTTCCCTTCCAATTCTCCCAAAGCGGCGAAATGGTTCAGGTGATGCGAATCCTGGGCAGGCTGCTGGACCATTGAAGTGTCCAGGAGTAAGTCTAGTGCCAACTGTAACAACTAAACGTCTAAAGTCTGAGGCAAATTCTAGGCAGTTCCCCAGTTTAGGCGTTCAGTCGAGAAGGTTGTCAAGAGAATCAGCAGATGAATATCTCCCACAAGGTTCACACATGAGCCAGGTCAGCTGCCACCAAATGATGATAGATTCATCTGCAAATTCTAATCAAGCCAAGAGTCCAGGTAGATTCAGTCTCACCAGGACACTTGCGGGCCTGCTGGCACTGGAAAAGTTCAGCTGTCGGGGTTCGCCAACTGAACCATTGCATTTAGAGCACTACAATATCGACAGGCAACTGAAGATGGGATCGTCCAACTGACCTCACTTGATCAGAACTGCACAACTGTTCATGGCCACACTTCAACAGTGTATGTAAATCAATTGCCTTGGTTGCACTTGCAAATGCCCCCGTAACGCACGCGGTACCACAAATATACAACTCAAGTAAATGAACAAGTCAGTGGAAATGCCTTCTATGGTCTGGAACAGACATCCAAGTGGATTGGTCACTGCACCAATGTGCAGCCTAGTCCTTCACTTGAGGACATGAGTCAGCAAGGTTATCGCTTTTGAACAGGGCCTGTCGGATTATCGCTTTTTCAGGTTTGAGCCAAATTCCTGAAAATCACGACCACTCTTTCACTCTTTACTAAACTACACATTGCACGTTTTGACAGTTGCTCACTTGGGCACCCGGACATCCCAGCAGCTCAAAGACCAAGCATCATCCCATGTTGCAGGGATCCATTGGAATCAATGTGGGTCTGTAGGCTATATGAACATGCTCCTGCTCCTCTGCTGCATGACCATGTTTCGCCTGCTATGCGTCTTCAAGCTTTGCTTTGGCAATTCCCTACCTGCCTGGAGTAAAGATTCACGTCGTCACAAAAGAAAATGGTTGTGGGAAATTTAACGTATCCATTTGTTCAACCAGCGCATATCAAAGTACACACGTGTTGTATCAAAATGTGAACATTGGAAAATTGATGAAAATGGTTTCTTTTCAGGGGCTAAAGTACCTGCTTGAGGTCAACTATCTCTGACATGCTTTGACTCTTCCAAGAGCCAAGCATGCTGCAACAGCCCAGATTGCAACGGCACCGCTTTCTCTTTTAAGCCCGCTCTCCCCCCTGCCTACTTAATTAAGTGAGGAACTTAGGTAGCTAGTACCTCACTTAAGCTACTACCCACTGGACGCAGGATAGCTCACGCTCACACTTCTATTCATTTGGTTCCTAGGTGTTTAGGAAAACTTAACTATATTAGACCTTTCTATCATTGAGAGATAGTGCAGTGGAGCTGACCTTTTAGCAGCAACATGTTCCCACACATCCCGTCATCCTTCTCAGCTGTTGGTATCTTGCAAGGTACTGTATCTTGCTTCCACGCGACACACCCAACTGTTCTTCTGAGATCTGTGACATCCTAACCTTGCTTTCTCAAACCCTTGTGGAGCAGCTCTAGACTGATCGTCTCTACATGAATCAAAATTCAAAAATACTCGCAGGATCGGAACCCTATAGCTAGATCATAGAGTTGTGTCCACCAGAGGTGGCTTTATTCTAGAAATCAACAAAACTGGAAAAAAAACACCAAAAAAGAACACACAAAAAACAGCAAAACAAAGAGCAACCAAGTTCAACCAAGAAAGCAAAAAAATGCAACCAAAAAACACAAACAAAACAAAGAGCAACCAAAAAGAACAACAAAAAAACAAAAAAAATTGCTACCAAAAAACACAAACAAAACACAGAGGGTAGTTTGGAGGGGCCGGGTAGGGTTAGTACTGGACAAGGGTCTTTTCTGGTGCCGGGTCACGTGTCGCACTGTTGGTCGTTTTTTTCTGGCGCCGGGTCAAATGCCGCTCGTTGTTTTTCCGGCGCGGGGTCTTGGTCGCTTTTTCCCCTTTTTTCCGGGGCCGGGTAAAAAGTTGCACTTCTGGGTCGCCCTTTTTTGCGTGTTTTTTTGCTTTATTTTTCTTGTTTGCAGAAAAAAAAAATGTCAAAAAAAATAGCGACCAAAAGTGCGACTTTTTACCCGGCGCCGGAAAAAAGGTTCAAAAAAAAACCAAAAGTGCACCAGAAAGTGGACCCTCCCCCAAAAGTGCGCCAGAAAGTGGACCCTCCCCCGAAAGTGCGCCAGAAAGTGCGCCAGAAAGTGGACCCTCCCCCAAATGTGCGCCAGAAAGCGCGCCAGAACGTGGACCCTTCCAAAAAGTGCGCCAGAAAACCCGGCTGAGTTGTTCCATTGTTGCTTGCAATGTTGTTGGTTTTTTGCTTTTATGATTGCTTTTGTTTTTCTGGCTGCAATTTGTGACTGTTTTTTTGTTCTTTTTTGCTTTTGTGATGGCTGTTGTTTTTCTGGTTGCATTTTGTGATTGCTGTTTTTGTTTTTTTGGCGCTTTTTTCAAAATGATAAACTTCTAGAATAAAGGGGCCTGGCAGACACATCATAGAGGAGACAAAACGGCTACTTTCGACTCCAGACAGGCCAGGAGCCACCAGAGGCGACATCGCGTTTCCTGCAAGACTTCTGTTCATTCCCTCATTCCAGTCAGGCCCTCCCCAACTGACTAAAGTCAACAACAGGTCACGCAAAAAGCCTTCCCGCACGGACCCTCACAATGACCAATTGTGCTTTTCAACTGCTGGTGGCATGTCTTGGCTCTTTGGCCAGGCAAGGACGAGGGAAGGTAATGCATCTTTTCCAGCAGAGTACTATATAACAATGAAGAGGACAGGCGCAGGATGCTTGTTGCTCAACAGTGCACTCAAAACAAAGTGTGAATTGGCCTTCTGTTGAACAGTAAGCCCCGCCATTTAGCCCCCATTTTTAGGAGGGACTGGACCACCTCAGCCCGCTCTGGGAAAGACCGCCGCAGTTTGCTCTCTTCCTCTCCATCCGCGGCTATCCCCACCAGCTCTCAGCGGTTTAAACCAGGAAAGAGCACGCTCCTCACGGTTTGGCAAGGGACACAGTAAGTGTCTGGGAATGGATGTCTAGAAGCAAGGATTTGTGCCTGAGCCACCATTCCAGTCTAACCACCTGCCCTGCCACATCGATGTAATTACCGATGAGGTGAACGCTGTCCACTTTACGATGTCCGATCTGGCACATGATTTGAACCGCTCCACATACCAAAGCATAGGAACGCTGATGCCGTTGTTGTTTCGTGAAAGGATCCAAATTGCATCTAACAACCTCAACACCTGTGTGGTCCAAATACGCACTCTTGAAATATGTCGCTGCGCAAATACATGTCAATGCTGGGTCTTGAAGATTTTTACACCAAGGCCTGCCCATATAGGCGAGCTCTCCAATGAGCTTGGGTTTTCTAAAGCTTGCGCGTGCTCAGTTCAAGCGTTGAAATGATTTCCATTCCAAGTAGTGAAGCTTCAACTGTACCTCGGGCCTATATGATCCTATGTGCACCAATAACTTCAAGTCTGGTTCAGAAAGATCACTGTATAGAACACATGCAGTCGTGGGAGTTCCATTCTATCGAGCCAAAGGAAACTTTACGGCGCCCAATTCACTTTTACACGCTTCCGTCACCTCACTTGTGCACAGGGGCAGCAGCCACATTATGAAGGCTGGATGCCCAATATACGCTTCCATCAGCTCATACAGGCTCATACACGTGTAGTCACTCACTTGCAAACGCAGGAGTGAGATCATAAAGGTCGTGGTGAGATGATAAGCAAGTTACTAGTCCCCAAGTCATATAGCTACGGTCGGCTTTATGAAAGCCTTGCGCACACTTGATGCAGCCATTCCAATGCGCTTCGCAGTACTGCTTTGCATTCCTCAATGTAACTGTGCTTCCATGAAAACTGAATTACTAACTACATCTAAATACGGCATGTACAAGCGGGTCGTTGGCGGCATATGCAGCGAGTACCACGCCAACATTTACCCCTCGAGTACAAACAGAATCCGGAAATGGCAATCTCCCAAAACAGCTGCATCTTGCTGTGCCAAGTTAGTGGTAAAGGATCCAATTCTACCATCTATCCACTTCAAAGTTGTCAAAGTGAGCAAACATGAACATGGTCCTTGAGAGCATGAACTGTGTTCCTGGCCCACTTCGACTCTGACCTCGGGCGGGCGGCCCTGCTCCTCACTGGAGTGACCACTCAATCTTGTATCCTAATTGATTCTCACCGTACAACAGATTGAAATCAACTTTGACCGAATTCTCAAAATACACCAAAAGTATCAAAACATCGGTATACATCAGTAATATTCATCTACCCAATACTCCCGATGATCACATTACGTCGCTCCGGGTTCAATTCGGCTTGCTAAAGAGAATCGCACCTTCCATCTCACAAATGCAAACAAATGCTAGAAATGATCTTTGCGCGACTCGTGCTCGTTCCCCGGCGGCTTCACAATCTTCAAACATTGAGAATTTCTAAGGAACATGGATAACTGGGCTGACCAAAACAGTCAGTGCTTGCCCGCCAATTCTTAAACAATCCCCAAGAGCCAGTCTTGAAACATGCACTGCCTCGACCAGAGCAGACCCTCCGAATCAGGGTTGCAACCAAGACAGGTCCAAGTTAAGTTTCCCTCAAAATCTAGGAACCAAATCATTAGTGCGAGCGCGGGGGAGTTTCCTTGAAGAAGCGCGAGCTCTCCTGCATCCTAAGTAGTAGCTACTTGTAGGTACTAGCTACCTAGCTACTAGCGGCCTACCCTTAAAAAAAGCTTTTGATAGTAACCAAAAACACCGACCCACTAGGCTCTTCAAGGAAGGCCATACTTGGAACGCCAACCACTGGTCTTGCAATGGTCCGGCACACTCAAAATATTGTCCAAAATAAGGTGGCAGGTGATAGCCACTCTAGTTTACAATAGATCACTGTTTGAACGCCCGTCTTTAACAGCCACTTCAGATTCTTCACCGGTTGGCCCTCTCTTGGCCTCAGGGGCGCGCGCGACACTCACTTCGAGGCTCCAGCCATCTGCAGAGGTGACATGGTTGATCATCGGCGCCTGCCAAACTCTGTGACCATCAGTCTGGAAGCTTGCAAAAAAATTGCACCACGCTCTTAGGTTGGAGGCCATCGCTTCTAGGTTGGAGGCCATCGCTATTAGGTTTACTTGCAACACACAGTATGAACGACAGCTCTGCATTTCTCCCAACCCAACCGAACTTCAGAGCTGCGTAAAGAGCAATACTGAAGGATACTGTGTTCTTTTGCGTGTCTTCTAGGAAGGATAAATCATCTTGTAGTCGCGGCACTGTAAGGAACCAGCTTGGCGCAAGGTTGGTCTGTCTAACTCTCATGAGAGAACAGCTGAATGACGCATAAATCATGACGGGTCTATAAAGGGAGTTAGATGGCAAAACAGTCAACACATCTTGCCGTGATCACTTGCTCATAGTTGGTTTGGATCCACTTATCTAATCTCTTCTGCCTTCTGCAACCATAGCAACCATCAGACTCCGAACCAGGTAAATAATCCTGTCGAGATGCGCGCAAGTATTGGTACTCCAATCACAGCTTGCATTTCACACGCGAGGAATGCCAATCTGAAACTGCCTCAACAATGTGCTGCAGCGAGAATCCGCGCCATGACATCTGGCGTCTAAAAAGAAATCTGAACCTTCACCCAATCATTTGTCCATAGAGAAACAGATGATGAAACAAGAAACATTGTGGGAGTATGTTTTTCTTGCTACAAATCATATTGACAATCAACATGTTTGGGGGATGTATTGGTCTCGGCTGTCCACAAGAACTAGACTTATAGCCAGCATGCCGAAATAAGAGAGCACCGACTGGATGCAGTGGGACGTCGCCTCCACATTTTGCGAATCTGTGGGAACAAATCACATACAGTACATAAACTCATAAAATCACAAGAGGACAATGATGAAGAATGACCCGGGTGCAGGGCAAGGTCTTGAAGGCCAGGCCACGCTATCAAACTTCATGATTAGGAGTGGACCAAAATCCAGCTCTGTTACCTCTGTCTTGGAGTAGCAGCGAGTAGCATGCACAAAGTTGTCATCTTTCAATGGGTACTGTGTTCTGTCAGGAAAGCGTCAGAAAAGAAAGAAATACATTGAGTAACACACATTCAGGCAGGACTCATGCCTAGTTAGCGGCCTAGCAAACATAGCCATGAATTCCTTGAGGTCATGAGATACAGAGATAGAGGGCAAGCACATCATCTAGAGGAATCTTGTGGCCGGTGCCCCATGCATATTCTCCACCATCTGCCATTCCACTGAAGCGCTTCGTGCCAGTCTGTTGATCCAGCCTCAGGGATCTACAAATCTGGCCACCAGTTGCAGCAACGTGCATGAGGCCAGCGATATCGCAAGTCCACCAGGTTTGTATTCCCACACTTGCTTGCACTTTTCAGTACGGCACAGCAATTAGCGTCTCATGATGTTGGATACTTCCCTCCAGCGTGTCTTTCCTCCAGCGTCCCAAACTGGGTACTTGATCACCCTTCGTACTTAGTGTACTGTTTTTCGTGGCTCTGATGCTCAATGCAAAACGCCTTTCTGTATTTGGTAAGTGTTGGCCCCGCCGCCATTGCCAAGGTGCGGAAGGCCGCCAAAGTACTTGCAGAGACGAAAAAGACCCTGATGATCCCGATCCTGCCGTATATCATCAAAATCATCCATCTAAATGATATCCCGCGATCAATTGAACTGTTCCAAAGTCGATAGTCCTGTCGGATGGTTTCTTCCAGGCAATCCACGTAGGTGGATGTATCATCTTTGCGTTGTCAGACCAAGACCTCAGGATGACCTTTTGTTTGAAGAGGGGTCAGAATTTCAGGGTTGGACTAATTAGCTCTGGCACTAAAGTTCAAGGGGTGAGGGTCAAAATAGGATGTATTGATCGAATTTGGGAATGAGCATGGCTCAAAAACTGTGCGGGATTGTGGGATGTTTTGACGAATGGAATGATCATGGCTCAAAAACTGTGTGGGATTGTATGGTTTGACAAATGCGCTTGACCATTTGTATTGATGGTTGTATATTTGTATTATATAATGGGATTGAAAACAGCAGGGGCAGGTGAAATGATGTGTAATGTAGTCAAGGACAGCAGCTGCCCCACTAACGCTGTCCTCTTGTTAGTTCACCTCTGACAAAAACGATCGACAAAAACATTGGGGCCAGGGACTTTCAGACTTATGGTTGGCGCTGCCAACTGTCCGGAAGTAGTTCTTGCCTAGGCCACCGGCGTATTCAGTGATGCGGGGCACGGGGAGCTGCTGCTCGCCTTCCAACCCGTAGAAGTTCGCCTCACTTGCAGAGTTCAATAGTTCAGTAATGATTTTAAGATGAACTTGAAGTTTGTTTGTTAAGAATTTTACTTCTAGTGATGAGTGTGGCTTCGTCTAGTTGTCTGGTTGACAACTTATGCACTTCAGAGGGCGCCCAAGTGGTGTTTGAACTGTGGCAATGTGCAAGGGCCGCAAGGATGACAACGGGTGATGGCAAATAACAGATTCGCAGCGAAGGCCAAAGGGTTGATCTGTTCCACCCTTGGCCAACCACGAGCTTCACACCCTTCACGAGCCTAAAACTGCAAAGTGGATTTGTCAGTCAACGGGGCGCACTCAGAAAAAATCACACAAAAGAACTTTTGTATCTGTTGGGAAGGAACCCCACCCTGTTAATTCATTTACAAAGCAATGCGTCCGGCCTCAGAGCGCACGGCGTCCACAAACCTTAGCCAAAGTGCCACGTTGAGCATGCTGCTGGTTTCAGGGTGTACTAAAAGCATCTAGACAAAACAAAACGAAACAATCCCGTAAGTGGTCGATTGGTACCCTGTATCTGGCCTTGCTAGCGTGTGCCCGGCTGAGAGTGGAACTCTAAATCACAGGCTTTCTCACCGAGCAGCCAGAAGCCCTTAGCAGATCAAGCAGCCGCCACGGGGTGCGCAGCAGGCGCCCACAAAGCGGCATATATAGTTTCAATTCGCAACGCGCTGTTCTTTATCGATTTGGACTGTCCACAACGTCTGCCTCCGCTGAAAGTCAGCCTGAAATGCTTCCGGCCTCTTTTCCTCCAAAATCTTCGCAGGTCTTGAGACAGTTGCTTTTACAAGACACAATCTTCACAGTTGCTTTTACATGGCGTTGGCGCCAAGCCCTGAGCTCCACGCTGCGCGCAGGTATTCCAGCGCATATCTGAGGAGGAAGCCCGAGGGATCCACAAAGTAGTGGCCTGCCAGGGTACCCATTCACAGCTTTGGGAGCAGTGTCAGTTCAACAAAACCTTCATCAAAAGCAGTACCGTAGCCATAAATGTGGAAATGATGCCAATCATGCACCTGTGTGTTGGCAGTTTCTGCATGTTTCTGCATGACACAACCCATTCTCAACCAAATCCAAGTGCAAGCGAAGTTTTGGCCAGGGTCCCCAGGAGTCATTATCAAACCTCTGATGGGTTCAATCCATTTACTGTAGCTTCCATTGATGAGGTTTGAGCTATGGAATGCGCAGACAGAGTGGAAAAACTCATGTCGTGAGGTCGCTTGAGATCGCTCGGGCTGCCCAGGCCTTCGGTGTCCAGGGTGGCACCAAAGCCCTGAGTTAAATAAAGACAGAAATGCGTATGCGTCTAACACTTCTACGCTAGTAACGTAGGTTGGAGGCCATCGCTACTCGGTTAGATTAAGCTCAATGGCGAAGCAAAGGGGTTGCACCTCCCTCACTACGTGTAGATGGGTGACTTCAGTAAGAAAGGGACTGTGCTTTCTCAGGTCATTTGCCGTCTGCCTGCCTCAGATCTTGGACTGGATATCCTGCCATCTTCCTCGGGACGCATGAGATCAATAACTGGGCGGCGGGCCCCTTCCAGTGTGTGTGCCGGAACATGGAGTCAAAAAAGGGCGCCTGGGAGGCTGATTGATCCAAGGCTCTGAGACATCAAGGATGAGTGCGCAGCTTGTGGCAGCTTGCTCGCCGGTTCAGTGTTGCAAGATGCAAGATTTGAGAACAAGTCTCACGAATCTTGCTTCTTGCCTTGCAAAGCAAAGTAACAAACAAGAAGCAATAATCAATAACGGTGCGCGCAAACTGCACAACACGTTCAGAGAAGCACAAAAATCAAGAAGCAAAGAAGCGATGACTGAAACAAAAGTTATCCAAAAGAACAAAAGCAAGGAAGCAGAACAGCAGACATGCGGAAAAGCGCAGAAGCATAAATTTAAAAAACAGAAACAGAAGCGGGAAATCAGAAAAGCAAGGAAGTCAATAACAAGTAAGGCAGCCTTGAGTATGCAAATCGGGACCTTCCTTGGCAGCTCAGGCCAACAGGGGTAACTGGGCTAGCAGTAGCACTTCAAGATCTTCAATTCTATGGGTCAATGATTAGGAAGCCTAGCAAGCTATAGTTGTTGTGCCAAATCTGGATCTTCAGAGTTGAATTCCACCTCGGTTTCAGCCGCCTTTTTCAAATCACACAAAGAGAAGATAGAGAATCCGATTGAAGGAAGTCGCCAACGTTCAATGTCGTTTCCCCAGAGGATCGGTTCATGCTCCGGTGTTCCGCTGTTGTAGCACGGTGATTAGCCCAGGGGCCTAGGGGAACTGCTGCCAAAAAAAATTGAATGTACAATAGAGACAACGGTGGTCGGTGGTCCATTGACAATCAATGTTGTCTTTTGGTTCGCAGCTCGCATCATCCTATTTTGAAGCCATCGGCAGTTCTCCCACCTTCCGCAAGGTACTTGGCGTCGTCCTTGAGGCATTGACATCAACCCAAAAAATGAAGTACACTCCGCTCACTCATAGACCAACTATTTGACTCCGAACACGAGGATGTTGTCATACAACTTGTTCATTGATTATCAGTTAATAAGTCTCATCTGAAGGTCAACTCTTGGCCACACCTTGGTCATTTGTGACAGTTGCAATCCACTACTCATAGCCTCACAGCCTGCAGGCAAAGATCCGAAATGCATCAAAATGCAAGCCTTTTTCTGAAACTGTTCCTGCAAGTATATATCTTACGCCAAAAAAGAGACGAAGTCCAGAAGAGTGGACAAAATGTCTAGCAAGAGAGAGAGAGAGAGTTAGAGTTAGAGAAAGAGACAGAGAAAGAGAAAGATAAAAAGAAAAATATAAAGAAAAAATTGAAAAAAAGAAAGAAAAATAGAGAAAGAGAGAGAGAGGGAAAAATGTGGTACAAGCCCTGCCCCCATCTTGGGGGCCCCTGGACCGTAGATTACCATTGACTCTCCGGTCCTGAAGAGACTTCCGCCAACCTCACATGGCGGTCCAGGATGTGCAGAGATCTGAAAACATCTTCAACGGTATGACATGATATACGATCGATATGATTTGATGCTTCAGGCAGGTGAAAGTTGTATTCCCTGTCTTTGTTCATAAGACAGCGGCATAGAGTCTGCAGCAATTCGAATTGACGTGGCGCGTATCACAGTCAAATATCACCTCGTATGACGGTGTGAAACCTCAGTGCTCATTTTCAAACATCAAGAAGTGCTACTGCTACTTTTTATCCACTACCAGTACATCTATGATGCTCTTGTTCCTGGATTCGAACAGGGCAGTCTGCCTGGTTTGGTCTATCCCATAGCCCAACAAGTCCGCCAATGCAGTTTCTGCTCAAACTGAGAGACAGTTGTTGCTCAAGCAAAGGCATCGAATCTTTCTCAGCTTCATCAGCTGGACTAGTGACAAGTGGCATTCAGTTCACCACGTACCTGGCAGAGATTGAAAGTCACATGTGGCAAGACGGGAATGTGCAATTTGTCCTTATTTTCCTTCTGCTAGCTATGGCTCCACCTGGTAGGGATGGCCTCCAACCTAAGAGCGAAGGGCAACCCAGTGATCAGGAGACGATTCCCGAGTCTTGTCTAGTGTCTTTAGCCAGTGGCGACGCCCACCTGGCTCAGGAATCGCTAGCCAACCTAACGAAGTGGGTCTAGCGAGGCTCTCCACCCTGCCTCAACATCCTGAGACCGATGTGAATGTCCTGGACTTCGAGAGACCTCAGATGGCGAATGACTCACAGGAGTTTTCTCTAGCTCCTGTAAGCATCCTGGAAGATATTATTTCAGGATCCTGTAAGCCCGTCCCACAAAGCCATCCTTGAGGCTCTGCTGATCCTTTACTTTCCAGAGGTCCACGATGTGTATGGAATATCATCTATGATCATCGATTATCTTACAAAATTCGGACCAAGTCTGCTGTCCCTAAGTGTTATCCCGATGACATTCTCGGGACGCTGAAGGCAGCTGAGCCTCCGAAGCAAAGTGGGCACCCGCGCAATGCGGCCGAAGTCCGGGAAGGTGCGACCTGTGGAACATTGCCAACGTGGAACAATGTGGAACAATGGAACAGTTAATATGTGGAACATGATCCAAAGCAATATGGGCTCCCAGAAACCCTTTGCTGTTTGCAATCATTTCAGATTACTCTACTCTACTATACTGAATCCGCCGGACGCACGGTAAGGTGAGCGTTGACACCAACTGTGAGAAATACAGGCTGGTTGCAAGGTAACTTTCCATGAGCTTTTTTCTAAGCCTCTAAGCGCATCGGCAATCAACTTAGAGGTCGCCACCACTCCACCTGTGGCTCAGGCCTCCAGTCTCCTGCCATGCAGCGATGCACTCGGTGAATTCCCTCTCGTCGCCATGTTCATCTTCCTCCCGCCTCGGCCAGCGTGACACTATTCTCACCGTGTAGAGTTCAACGTTCAAGTCTTCGCAAGTCCAGCATATCGAATATGCTGCAATCTATTCAATGTTTGCTTGCAAGGTTGACATTGACGACTTTCGCGAATTTCAATCATGTCCAATGTCTACTTGGAACTGTAGCCACAAATGTGTGTCCATCCTGACACTAGTCATGTTGAAGGAGATTACTCACTTCTCTCCCTCACCAACATTGGTGCATTGGTACTTGTGTTTAAGGAATAGATCCTGTACCACCTCGAAGACCCTGTAAGTATATATTGGGTTATTGGAATATCTTCTATGTCCATTGGTGCAGGCTTGGTTGCTTCAAAAGGGGATTCTAGACTCAGAAAGATACTTCTTTGCAATAGGACAATAGGATTGCCCACCTGCTGCTTCTATTGATTTGTATTGCTGCAAATTCTAGATTTGTATTGCCACCTGTACCAGTTCTTGGCCACGTTGCGCCAGTCCTGAAAGGCTCCTGGGTGCGTGGTGTGCCTTGGAGCACAACAATGACGGTCCTTGAAGGGATGTAGGATCATGCTCAGTATGCTGTCTTCATCGAGCCCCAAGATCGCAATTCATTGGTTGACTCATATCGAAGGTCCCTGGCTGCCACCATGTCGTTCAAGGGGTCCTGGTGCAAAGGATACCGCTTAAGCTGTGTGTGTAAAAGCATAGGAGTGTTGCCTGCACCTTACAAAAAAGGCGATCAAGCATGGCCCTCGAAGCTGTTTCGAAGTGCAATGGGCACCCATCTTAACTGCCTTTTGCTTTAAATGAAATTGGAATGTAATTGTCAGACCAGGCTTGACAAGCTCGATTCTCGATTCTCGACCTCGATTTTCGATTCTCGATCCTTTATATGTTGCTTCACACCGTCAATGTAAGCGGAGAATGGGAATTCTCCAATGATCCAACAAAACAAATCTTTCTCATTATTGACTCATGCTACCCATACTGACATACTACCCTTCTCAGCCTTTTATACAAGGTCTCCGATGGTCTTCTTTGTTTTAACAGTCCTTAAAGGTCCTTCGGTGGCATACCGAAGCAGAAATGCATTGTGTCATGTGGACATATTGATATCCCAGACTTCAATAAATGCTGCACCATATATGTCAGAGTGGCAAGTCTGATCGAAGGTTTTGGCACCCCGCTCGCAGCTGACCTGCACTCCATTGCCATACCTTGGGCTGTCAAATGAGGCTGGGTCATGGGAGAGATGTTGCGATGTTGCCTATCCACAATGGTGAGTGACGGCCTGCGTAAAGACTCTGGTCATGGGTATCCGACCCAGAAGATGCGCTTGAGGGAACAAGACGTGGCTTTGGCGGGTCACCCTAGTAGTACAACAATCGGCAGACAAGGAAAGCACAGTCAGCAACAATATGTATGAACAGGGTTGAAAGGAACATGAACACGGATTGCTTGTCGTTGTTGCTGCTGCTGCTTCTGTTGTCGTTGTTGTTGTTGTTGCCCTGCTTTGAAGAAGGCTTCAAAGGACAGACTAATGATGTTATGCTGCAGCACGCAGTTCAGCCATTGATGCATTTCAAGGTAGTGTGAATCAGTACCTGCGGTGTGGAATGGAATGCGAACTTATTTGTATGGCCAAAGTGGAAAGGACGCGTTCCCAGGTTTGCTTGGGTTTTCTGGTGGACTGTGTCTTGTTTCCAGAAGCTGATGTGACTTCCTTGGACTTCTACTCATTGGCCCTTTTGCACATGGGCACATGGGCAAATGCTAGCAAAAAAGATGTGTCTCTCGAAAGAGGCACCAGTCATAGTAGATATGAACCGATATGAATGGACTCAAAGAAACTGGTCCCCAAGGTCAGGTGCTTATATAAATTTCAAGATGAGTTCGGGCTAGACACCGCATGCACATTACAACCAGCAAAATACTCTCTATGCTCACTGTGACCAGTTCACTGTGTCGGCATTTTCTCAGCACCAGCCGTATCAGGGCAAGTTGCAAAGCATGTTTCACCAAGCTGCCCTCCTTAGAATGCACAGACAAATGTTTTTTGAACCTGGACTCCGGGGTAGTCGCAGACATGTTTGTAGCAAACAATGCTAATCTTTAGGGAAAGTCAATCATAGCTCTTCCTGAGACTCTGACTTCGAGAAATCCCCCTGCTGCCACATCCATCAGCCCACAGCCAGGGACGTAGTGCTTGGCAAGCAGACTAGTCCCCTGCCCTTTTGTCCTGGTTGATTGCCTGGACAACAGCTCTTTAACAAAATTGCTTTGCCGAACAGTGATTCATAATCTGTTTGTTGGAATGTACCCCAATGAGATTTTTCTGCAAGGTAGTGTTTGTACCACAGAAATCTATTTTTCGAAATGGTCACACGGCTCTCAGCTTTTCCTGGCTCTTTTCCTTGCATCTGCGAATCCTGCCAAATTTGAGAAAGTCGATTTGGCATCATCATTCAACATTGTCACATATTATATATATATATACGTATATCGTATTATCACTAACAAACCCTTGTTTTTGATGTTTGTTGCTTAGAGCTAAGACAGGACGCTTCTGATTCATACGAATCTGTCTTGAAAGAGAAATACCTACTACCTACTGACCCTCCGTTCGGCCTTTCGGCCAAATCGAGGTGGTCTGACGTGCAGGTTCGGCCATTCAGATCCTGGATAAACCATCAGCCTGCCACACGAGAGGCTCATCCTCTCCTTTTACAGGGCCACGGAATGTTGCATATACACCTACATGTTGCGTGAAAAACGGAACCAGGTCGCAACATCCACAGCCAAGTACAGGTAAGTATTCGTCAAACCATTTTGGTGTTTCCGAGTGGTCTGACCTCAACGAAGATCCTCCGCGCAGGGAGACTATCTTTTCCGCAGTTCTGCGGGTTCTCTCTTGGGCCTCCGGATCGAATGCCACAGGACTAAGTATAATGGAAACGACAAAAGGTGTTTGGACCACCTCTGAATGATACCTCCAAGTCCTTCAAACCACAGATCATTCGAATCGCGCGCTATGGCATCCTCGTGTGAAACACTTCGAATCCTTTGCCATTGCAATATGGCCGAGGCGATCAACGGGGGTGACACACTGGCCCGGCTGGAGGCCCTTACTGACACTAGCCTGGGCCTTCAGTGTGGACAGAAAAATGCCTTGTTATGCCTTTTGGCATTAACTGATGTGGGTGCTTGGATTCGACAAAAGGCTCTTCCTGTTTGAACCAGAATGGAATGCTGTCATCAAATTTCATGGTCTCCGTGATGAAGAGCCGCCAAAGTTGTGGTCGGTTCACAGCACAATGTGTCTTGGTAGCTTTGCAGTCTACCGAATGCTGAGCCTTTGGAGCCCTCTTGACACCCAACTTGCTTTGCGGTCAAATCTCACGCGTGTCGGGCATTGCGGAGGATGAATGCACCTGACAGGCTGATGACCCATTGCAGAAGACGGTTTCATCAATACGAGGTCTTGAGGTGAGGCAAAGTTGGGGCAGGGTATATATCTAATAAGCATCCTTCTCGTTTTCCTTCTTTCCCTTCTACTAGCGATGGCCTCCAACCTACTAGCGATGGCCTCCAACCTAAGAGCGATGGCCTACAATAAGTATGCCGCTAGCATCCGCTAGCTGTCAAGGCTTTGCACACCTTGGTCAGAAGGATTCCCTCTCATATAGACATCTCTCCAAGAATCAGTTTTAGACATCTCTCCAAGAATCAGTTTCGGCAAAGCCTGGAGAGGGGCCAGGCATGGTAAAAGCATTAGGAGTCCCCCATGAAGCAGTTCACAAGAACACTGCAACAAGAACCTAGCAAATAGATGGAACAACCCAAACTCGTGTGACCGTGCCCCCCTTGAATTAGCTCGTTTCCACACCTCAATAGGTGCAGGTGGAGCCTCTCCATTCGCAGCCTGCGATTTGGCTTCGGACTTTGGCTTTCCAAAATGATAGCAATGCAAGATCTGGAAACCAATACTGGTCACATGGGTGGCTGGGTTTGCAAGATCCACGTGTAACTATTCGATGTTGGTGTAAGTTCATGAAGGCGGAGAACTAAACCAACAAAGTAATTCCGCGGTGCCTTTGCTCCAACCTACTGTACATGAAGGGCCAGTGGCTTGCATATCCAAGCTCTGCTTGCCTGGCGACCCTGGCACAGCATGGCATCCCACGTGCAACCAGAGGAGCACCTCAATGCTCTCACGAAACGAAACAAGCTGCTCTGCCAAAGCGCGTTTCAAACATAGGACAACTACGGATGGTCCCATGATGGAACCCTCAATACCGGGATTGCCAGGTCAAATGGACTATGTCTGAGATGCTCTCGGCTCGCAGGTTTTGGCCAAATCCTTTTTTCTATGTCTGTGCTCTTGCGGGTTTGAGCGGAGCTTGGTTGTCTGCACCGCCCCTACGAAGGGTCGACAAGGAGTGTCTACAGTCGTGAGTGCCAAAGGCATTCGGACTTTTGATATGTCTGCTTTCTTTTCTATTTTCTACTTACTCCTTTTCTAAAAATGTTTCTTTAAAGAAGCGTCTGGGATCCAGAGTTCCAAAGACTTAGCTCTGGGCTCTGGAGTTAATTCCTCTCCAAAAATGAGTGGAGCCAAGGTCTGAACTCTAGAGGAAACCCTGTGGTTTTGCGTTGTCATATGCAACCGAGATTGGACTTTCTAGATCAGTCCTTGGCCCCTTCAAGAGACTGAACTCCGGGTTTAAGTAAGAAGTGAAATGACAGACCCGGGTTTAACTAAGAAATGAAATGACAGGCCGGGCCTATATAACTAAGAAATGAAATGACAACCTGGATTTAACTAAGAAATGAAATGACAGGCCGGGCTTAACTAAGAAAAGAAATGACAGGCCGGGTTTGAGTCACAAAAGAAATGACAGGTGGGGTTTGAAAGCCAAACAATAGAGAAAGGACTGAACTCTTGAGTTAATCCCAAAATGTAAAGTTTAGACCTTGAACTCTGAACTCAGTCCCAGTCCTTTCTTTTCTTCTTTGTCGTTATCGTCATATTCCTTTCAAAAATCAAACAGTCTCCATGAATGCTGCTGGGTGCTCCGGCGGCTTGCCAGCGCCCTTCACCTCCTCTTCCGGTCGTGGGTCATCTTCATCGGCCTTTGCTTCAGAGATGTTCTGTTCAACGCTTGAACTGGAAATTTTGAAGCTGTTTGTTTTTATTGCTATTATCATTATGATTACTTAATATATATGTATATATTGCGTATATACTATATATATAGTGTTTTTACTTTTTTGGAGGGGGTAGGCCGGTAAGAGGAAGAGGTGTGAGCTAGTCAGTAGCTATTAAGTAGGACGCTCCTAGGTAGGACGGCTGCTAGCTACAGTATGCAGGATAGCTCACGCTTCTTCAAGGAAGCTTCCGCCGCCGCCCTGGTTCCTAGATTTTGAGGAAAAAGAATATGAGCCATTGTGCCTATTATCACTTGTTCTCTGCAGGAACAGTACTGTACTCCCTTTGCTTTAAACAAATTCCAGGCTTCGGGCGAGGAGGTACACTTCCTCTTCAGTCACCATACCGTTGGCCTGGGCGAGCTGCGAAAACGCTTGCTTCACGTCACGGTCTCCCAGACCAGAGTCGAGATCCGCCATCTTGAGCACCATTCTTGGTGCAAGCAAAAAGGGGAAAGAACATGATCTGATGTGAAAAGATTATATAGCCAAACCCAGACAAATCAGGCAGCCACCATTTCCTGAGCCACTTTGGCTTTCTGTGCTTCCACATCGCCCTGGCATGAACAGCCATGAGAGCTGCACCCGTTGGCCTGAATGTGGGTTCCTTGCTGCCGTATGACTATGGGCTAGGGTAACCAGCAACAATTGTGGCCAACGGTATACGGATGTATACAGTGTATACGGCCCCGCTGATATTGTTCTTCTCCGGAAGCTTAGGCTCTGAATTGGAGTGCCTCTTCTGACCGTGCTGTTCTTGTTCATTTGTCACTAGTCTTCTTGCCACGTCCGACTTTAAGATGAGTTGACTCCTACTGTCAGACATGCAAGAATTGTCAGACCCTTCCGTCAAGGTTGGTTGTACCCTCAAAGACCTGTGTTTGACACCCAAGCCTGTACCTCAACCAAATGCCACTAAGCTGAAGAACAGGTCAGGGGTGCCAAGGCATTTTCTTTAAGAGCAGCCTTCTGCCGCTGAGCGACTGCAAACCTCAATTGTCAGGGCCAAGCACACAGGGCGCATCAGGCAAAGCAACCAAGAATCATCCAATCTGGAACAAAAGGACTTTCACAAATCTGCTAGATGTTGCTTTATTCAAATGCTCAGTTTTGCACCGGCGCCGGTAACTGGGGCCACGCACGACTTGGACTTGAGGTGTTCAACACCATCCCATTCGTTTGGAGGAGGATTTCTCATGTACTCCTCCACACGGCAAGACTGTGCAAAATGCGTGCGGTCAGAACCATCAATGAAAGTCTGCCCCCAGGGACCAAAAGTGAAGGTCTCAGACGAGGCAACAAGCAGTGCCGGCAGTGTCATGCAGGATAGAAGAGTCGGAAGGCAATAAGGAAGCAAATAATCCGGCACTCTGCCAAGTCTTGAGGAGTAAGGTGCCTGTGGCAGATCCAAAAGCATGCGAACGGAGAAAGTCCAGGAAAGAACGCTCTTTCTTTGGAGGCTTTAAAGTGCAAAAGCTTATTACAGTAAATGTTCTGCATCGTGAATGATGGAGGGCAGAAAAACAAACAGGGTGATAACGGGGTGACAAGTAGTTTGGTGAAAGCTCCGACAAGTATGATGCGTTACTAAGAAAGGTCTCAAGCGTGATGTGATTGGGAGAGGCTGCTCGCAATTTAAACATGCAGGCATTGGTCTCGTTGGATCTCATGCAGTTTTGTTGTTTCCAAACAAGATCGCTAAAGTGTCTGCAAGGGTTCAGACCGGCTTGAGAGACTTAGCTTCAGCCAGCACCCATAGACGTTGACTTAACTTCAGCCAGTTGGCTTTTCAGAACCTTGCTGTGCTGTGTGTTGAAGATCTTTGTAAGATGTTTCTTAATATGCTCATCATTCTCATGCATAGCTACGGGCAAAGTCACATATGCCCGGTATCGGTCCAGTGTAATGGATAATAGCAAGTGAAAAATGATCCAAGCAAACTTAACCCGAGGTCAAAAGGAGGCATAGGGTTGCAGCGTTGATTTCAATTCTATCAGTAGAAATCTGATATTTTGAATTAA